TGAATAAGTCAGTCACTTTTACATATAACTTAATGGGATAGCATTGTCCAAAACTAATTTAAAGAAAACATGACAGGTGTCCGTCTTTCAGCAGTGTCCGTTAACACTATGAAACAGCTTCCTCTACAATGCAGTGGAATGAATAAAGTTTGGTTCTTATATCTACATTTACTGTGCTCAGATGTGGCAGTAAAACTCATTAGTACTGTCAGGATGTTTTCTGTCAACCTCGCTTGTGGTTTCCTGACAATAGTAGCACCAATGTATGAATCAGATTTTGTTTTCACTGTTTTCAAATTCAATCCTCCTACAATGCCCAATGCCAAACTGTAAAAAATGGGAGCCTGAAATTGGTCTATTACATTCATAGCTAGCTTCCACTAAATTAGGACAGCAAGTTCCTTCAAAACTCCCAGCACTACAGAAGGTAGGGAGCCTAACTTTAGGATCTCGTTTTTTAAATTAATCCTGATCTGAGTAGTCAGCTAGAAAGAGGGAACAAGAGGAGATGAAATTCATCCCCTACAATCTACAGCCAAGGTGGAGGGCTCCCATGGGCTGGAGTAGCAGTAGCAGCCCTTCTGTGTTGGTTGACTGTGGAGTCACTAGATCTGAACAAACATGGATTTGTGGTCCGTCCCTTAGTCTTGCTCTCAGACCACACTTGGCTCATCCTCAAAGTGATCTTCATCCCCAGCCCTGCATAGGCCAAAATGGAGACCAGAACTACAGCATACCAGGAGTTAACAGACACTTCTGCATGGTTGCTCAGCCTGCTGGCTCCTCATGCAATCCCTATGTGGGGTTTAAGTGGTTCAAAAGGCCACCTGCCAGCTAGCCCTCTAAACCAAGATTGAAGTCCACCCTGCTAAAATAGTCTGTCTTGAGGTATGCTTTCTTTGGTTTTATTTGTAAATGTGCAATTAAAAAAAATAGAATATTTACACCATTAGCATTAAATTTCAGTGTCAACTTTTTATGAAATAAAATTCAAATGTTTTCTATGTGCAATAGATTAATTATTTTCTTTGGATATCAGATACAAAACTGTTTTCAATACACAGAACAATAAACTTATTATTGCAGCTGTAAGGCTTTTGATCCAGAAGTTTCCCAGTTGTTAGTGCTGATGCTTGTCCCATAACTGTCATGTCAGCTGTCCGCCAAGCTTCACAGTAGTTGTTAACTAGCCGGATCCCATTTGCAGTTGAACCATGCCATATGACTTTTTGTGGCCTAAACAGTAATGTTTAAAGTTATATTCCTGAAACAATCCTTTATCTGTACATCAGATCTGATGCCTAAACCTATAGCAGCCATTATCTCCACACCCCTTCTGTAAATTCACTTGACGCAATACGAATGCAGAAAGCAAAGTGAGGCAGAAGATTTGGGTGGGAAGAGAGGAAATGGGGACATCAGAGGTATTCTATGCTCTGTTCTCTTCCTCCTGTCCCTCTCTGCAATCATTAGGAGAGTAGGAATGGAGGAGAAGGGGAATGGAGAAGGATGGGAAAGGATGAGAGGAGAAGGTGGAAGTTAACTTTTGACACATCTAGCAACTCATGGTATTTTGATACTTACTAGCTAATAAGAGTACATTTCATGCAATACAGAAAAAGCAGTGTGAACTCACCAAGATGGATCTGTCATGACATTTCTCCCATCAAAGGAGTATATAGGAATCTGGATGTTGAACTGTCCTCCGCTGCCACTAAACACAGACTCCCAGTTGTTGAAGAGTACTTCTCCCTATTGTAATTTTAAAAGCCATATTTTACCAAGGCTTTTATCACATTATGAAGTGCTTAAGGTATTCTATAAATCCAAAATCTCTTTTATTTCTAAAATCCTCATGATTTCATCAACAAGTTCATTCATGCAAATCTCTACACTATTCCTAGGAGACCTCATTTCAAACTACCTCCCTGGATAAATCTCAGGTCTACTTCTCTGCCTCAAGCCTTTTTCCTCACAGTTGTCTCTGTCAACTCACTTTCTAACCCTTTTCCATTATCATGTACACCTCTCCTGTCCTCCTTAGCTCACAAACTCAGAGCAACTTAGACTCTTCTCTCTTCACCAAATGTAAAGCTTCTTCTTAAAAAGACCTTGTACAAGTTAGTTCCTGCATACTTTATTTCTCAGCCGTCTTCTTTTTTCTACCCTCCTGCCTTGATCTCATGCACCTGGGTCTGTGTCTGCGGTAAATTCTTTTTTTTCTAATAGTTTGAAAGTCTAAACTAGAGAACTGGAGTTTAAGAGCCACAACTGTAGCAGGCAAAGTTGGAGGTGGGATTAATTTAATTAATCTTTGTGATGATCCAAAAGGTTACTTGAAAATTTCCACATCCCTAATAAAATCTGATTTCTACTTGAAAAGAAAGCTCAAAGCAATTTTTAAATTGTCAGTCCTGTTTCTGGTAAAACTAAAATCATTCGAGGGTCATTACAACTGGTTAATTGTAATACAAGATGCTAGTATTTTGTAACTGTCTATGAGAATTCACTTCTCATCCCAATGAGAACAGGAACTGTTTTTATTCTGAAGAAGTCTCCTCCCACAGTTCTGAACTCAAGGGGATTTCTGAATGGAAACCCCCGCCCTTCTGAGAGTTGGGAAATCAGATGTTATTCCTACAAGTCAGTTGGGTGATTAGTTAGTGTGGGAAGACAGCCAGTATTTCAGAGCTGTGCTTTGGCATGCTTGTGTATATGTAAGGCACCACAAGATTACTCAGATTCTAAAAAATGTGAGTGTCTGCTTAGTTACCATGGTGTAAATCCTGTTGAACTATTCTTTAAGGGCATGCCTACACTTCAAGAGAAGGCTGAATCTACTATGGGCAATTTCTGGGCACTTGTTGTGGAAAAGGTGCAGGTCTGTGTCCTCAAATCAGGCAAAAATTAAATGTAGTCCAAGGTAGCGCATCCACATTTACAGAACCTGCCAGCGACTCAGAGAGCGAGGCGGCACTTTGGGGAGCTTGGCAGTCCAGGCTACGCTTTTGGTATCCGCTGGGTCCAAAACTCAGCAGCAGGTGATTCCAGGGACTGATGTTGGCCACATTCCAGAAGGCACTCTTCTACTCCCTCCTCCTTCGTATGTGCATGCCTTTTCATGCCATGGTTGCCTGCACAGATGCCACAGCACTACAAGCATGGAGCCCAGGGTGCTGCAAAACATTGTCATGCTCATGTCCCTTGTGGTACACCTCATGGTGCAGTACTTTGAGAGTGCCCATATGTTGCTCCACTAGGACGCGGATAAGGAGGATGAACCGTGGTGTGGCATGGAGGCCCTGCTCAGGCAAACCTTGACACTCATTCTGCTGCGGCTGCAACTCAGTCCACTGGACACAGTGGAATGCTACTTCTGGTGCTGGGAGATGAGCTCAGATTGGTGGGACCACATCGTCATGCAGAGATGGGACAATCAGCAATGGCTGCAGAACTTCTGCATGCGCAAGGCCACATTCCCGGAGCTCTGCCAATGGCTCCTTCCTGCCCTGTGTCAACAGGACACCTCATGAGACCCACTCCAACTGTGCAGAAGTGCATGGTCATTGTCCTATGGAAGCTTGCCATGCTAGACAGCTACCACTCCGTTGGAAACCAGCTCAGGGTGGGGAAATAGACAGTCGAGGCTGTTCTCATATAAGTAGCCAAGACCATCAATATCACCCTGCTATGGAAGCTCCTGACTCTGGGGAACATGGACAACATCATGGAGGGCTTTGCCACCATGGGCTTCCCTAGCTGTGGGGGCACCATAGATAGAACACATCCCCATTCTGTCCCCTGACCACTATGCCTCAAAGTACATCAACAGCAAGGGATACTTCTCCATGGTGCTGCAGGCACACATGGATTACAAGGGCCACTTCACCAACATCAATGTCTGATGGCTGGGAAAGGTGCACGATGTGCACATCTTTCAGAACTCTTGCCTCTTTTGAAAGATGCATGCCAGAACTTTTCCCCCTGAGCAGACATTCAGAGTTGGAGAGGTGGACATACCCATAGTGATCCTGGGCAAGCCAGCCTACCCCTTGCTCCTCTGGCTTATGAAGCTCTACACAGACAGCCTGGACCCCATCAAGGAGGAGTTCAACAGCAGGCTCAGCAAGTGCTAAATTGTGGTGGAATGTGCATTTGGATATTTAAAGGGGAAGTTCAGGAGTCTCAGGACTCGCTGGGATCTTAGTGAATGCAGCATCTCCTTCATGGTGATGGCTTGTTGTGTGCACCGTAACATGTGTGAAAACAAGGAAAACCTTTCTGGCATGGTGGGGGGCTAAGGAAGAGTGCCTAGTCTGAGAGTTTGAGCAGCTGGACACCAGCACCATAAGGAGAGCACAGCAAGGGGCAGTGCTTATGAGAGATACCTTGAAGGAAAGAGAACTGAAAGGGGCGAGGCGGGCATAGGAATGGAAGTGGGGCTGACTCCTGATGGCCTGGAGGGAAGAGGCAGTCTTGGGGTGGGTGGGGTTCTGGACAGTGACCTATTCCAGGGAGGTTGTCATGTGCTCCATCGCAGCGGTCAGGGTGGAGAACATCATCCTGTGCTGGCACATGAGCTGCTCCTTGGCAGCCTTTCTCTCCTCCCATTTGGCCCTCCGCTCCTGCCGCTCGGTGACCCAGTCCTGCCACTCTGCCTGGATTTCCTGCTTGAGGAAATGCAGGCATTCCATTTGCTCCCTGAACATGTCATCCCTATTCCATTTTTGCCTGTGGATGTGAGCCAGGCTAGCAAATGCAGTGGGAGGTGTAGGATGCACCAAGCTGGCAGCTGTCCCAGCTGCAAATAAAAGTTACAAGGGCAGACATCACAGGATATACTTTGTGTGAAACCTACCCCTAATCTCTTCGCTGACACCAAAGGTCTCGGTTCAGAGAACAGCATTGTGTTTCATATATGGTCACATTTTTGCTTTAAAAGGGACACTTTACAGCAGGTGCCTAGAAGTCCCAGGGGAACATTGGGACACATTTTGTCCAGAGGCAGGCAGTCATGGTAAGAGGACAGCCAGGCCAGGAGCCTACAGGCAGTATGGAAGAGGCAGGAGAGGGCAGCTTCCTGCTGTGTCCGGCATACGTGGCTTCTCAGAACTTTCTACTTTCCTGGCCAGGACAGGTGCCTCCAGGTGGGAGTTGGAGAAGGGGTGGGTCAGCTTCCCACTGTGTCCAGCCCATACCATGTCTGGCACTTGCAGCTTGCTGGAGAAAGTGCTTCTTTCCCTTCAGTGCTGTATGATTCCATGACACCAGACTACTTACTAATGGCTTGGCATGGGAAGATGTCCTACCACGGAGGCTGGAATAAGGCTGGCCTCCCCAAGAACCTTGTGAGAAGGACTGAAGGGTTCCTATGTGAGAGCTTCATGGAACTGAGTAGTGAAGACTAGAGTTCCATCTGACAAGTTGACCAGATGGGACGGGTCATTGCCACAATTCCTGGGGATTTTTGAGCTCAACAGGAGAACAGTCGAGGTGGAAGTTGTGGCCAGAGAGGACAGAACAGACAGCTGTAGGAGGCCTCCTGGAGGCCAAATGTATTGAATTTCCAGAAATGCAGTGTCTACACTAGTGTCACTTTGGCCATGCATGGCCAGGAATAGCATTACTCCTGGTGGAAAGCTGGATTATAGGAATCAATTTAAGCTCCCCTCAAGGGCAGCACAACAGGGTTGGCAGTATGGATGCATCACTTAGATAATCGACCATGGGTGGCTACTTTTGGTGTTAAGTCCTAGTGTAAACCAGGCCTAAGAGGTGAATTTGGCTCACTATCATTAAAGATTGGACATCTGGTTACCTCAGTCTACTAAGCTCTATAGGCACAGGGCTAGCGTATGACCTTGAGAAACAAAGGCTTGCCTTGTGGATGAGCATTCTAAGGCTGATTCAAAAACAGGATTATTGAAAGAGAAATATCAAAAAAGTTACATATTATACCATTGCTTTGTCATCAGTTCACTGTAAGCCAAACATTCCCATTACTTGGTTTCTACCATTAGCCTTATAGTGTTGAAAAAGAAATTGAAAAGACAGCTGCTTCTAGTGTAAGTGTGAGACATTGCATAGCTATACTTGTCATAAGGATGTAGATGGGAAAAACAAGGCTTTTCCTATAGCTTATAAGATACTTTGATCAAACATTTCAGAGCCAAGAAGCAAGGAAGAAAAAAATCTGTTACCTCAGTTGACTTCTAAAGAATTTGCATAGCTAGAGATCACCTTTACACAGCAAATAAAGCATTTATTTTTACCTTAAGATTAACTATTGGTAGATTGTATCTGTCTGTTTTTCTCACAACTGTAGCCAGATCTTGCAAATGGGATGACAGGAAAGCTCTGTATGTTGATGTTAAACCAGTCGCTCGGGCTTGTTGAAAGCATTGATAATCAGCTCGCACGGCACCAGAAAATGGCAAGTTCAAAGCCACCAAATGCAGCTGGAAAATAAGTAAAACCCCTCACTGATTTACAATTTAATTTATAACAACTATTAAGTTATTCACAGGGGGTGTGTCTAGACTACATGCCTCCGTCGACGGAGGCATGTAGATTAGCCAGATCGGCAGAGGGAAATGAAGCCGCGATTAAAATAATCGCGGCTTCATTTAAATTTAAATGGCTGCCCCGCTCTGCCAATCAACTGTTTGTCGGCAGATCGGGGCAGTCTGGACGCGCCGCGCCGACAAAGAAGCCTTTCTTGATCGGCACAGGTAAACCTGGTTTCACGAGGCATACCTGTGCCGATCAAGAAAGGCTTCTTTGTCGGCGCGGCGCGTCCAGACTGCCCCGATCTGCC